TACGCTTTTGTTCCAGATGACCCCATCGGTCCAGGTACAAAGCGTTGTACATATTTTGAGATTTTTTGCAAATCATCCATTGAAGGAGACAGTATCAACGGTCTCTCTTGTGTGGTTGGTGGTGCAAATTGGTGAAGGTCTGCTCCTACCACCCGAGATGGGGGTGGGGATGACGGAATGGTGTTAGAAGTAGGAGGTTCACGTCGGTCCAGATCCATCCCTATCACCCGAGATGGGGGTGTTACAACGGGGCTAAGAGTAGGAGGTGCAACTCGGTGCAGACCCGTCCTTATCACCCGAGGTGGGGGTGTTGGAACGGGGCTAAGGGGAGGAGGTGTAACAGCATGTGTCTGGGGTGGTTGTTTCGCTATATGTAGATGAACAGATGCTGCAAAATATTCATCAATTAAAACGGATTCCTCATTTTTCTGGACTGAATAAAACGTGCATTGAATTTAATGAAATGCAAACGTGAGACGTCATTTATCTTTGACCCATCAAAATGAATGCGGTCATTTATTTACAGAATCAAAGTTTAACATCAAACATTTACATTAATTTGGCAAAATATGAAAATAACAACATAATCAATCAATCAGGAAAACCATACGGCCATGATTTTCCGTTGCTTCACCACAGACATTTGTGAAAACTGTACAATTATGATCAGTTATCCACACGGCGGTGGATGAGCACTTTACACAGACATTTCTAAATTACTGAAATTTTGAATCAACATATTTTTTCCTGTAAAATGTTACATTTACTCACATTAAACTTTTGATCTGTCATCTATGTTATATTACAAATAAAATATTGACTATTGCCATCTCCACATCATTGCATTCAGTTTTTATTCACAATTTGTTTAGTGTCCCAACTTTTTTGGAATCCGGTTTGTATTTGTAATCATTTTTTCTGTCATTAACATATCTAATATATATATATATATATATATATATATATATATATATTATTATTATTTTTTTTTTTTTTTCCCCAGATACACCTGGACCTATACCTGGACCTACCATTCTATGTTCGTTAGTCTCTCCTTCCTGTCCTCTCAAACCAGCTGGTCAAAGCAGATGACCGCTTGTCCTGAGCCTGGTTCTGCTGGAGGTTTCTTCCTGTTCAAAGGGAGTTTTTTCTTTCCACTGTCTCCACTGTGCTTGCTCAGGATGGAAGACTGCAACGAAGCCAAGATTCAACTTGTCTGCTGGATTCCTTAGATAGAGAACTTTACTAATTGGCTTTTATGTGAATGTTTCTGTAAAGTGCCCTGAGATAACTTTGTTGTGATTTGGCACTATATAAATAAACTGAATTAAATTGAATAAAATGTATTTGACTATTGTTAGTAGTTTTATGGAACATTTGTGTAAATGGCTTTTTCTTACAGCCTCAGCTAGATGCGCCTCGGTGATGCAATTGAAGTGTAATGAAAGCAGTAATTCATGCATTTTTCTGCATAAACATGCCCACAAAGTTCTGATCAACCACACAACACTCGGTGCATAAACCTGTGAGAAAAAAATTAATTCTGCCAGGAGCCTGTGCACAGAACAAGTTCTGGGAGGCGGTGCAAGAAAAAAAAAAAGACTTGTTTTCAATCAACTGCGACAATCCACAAATTTCTTGATGTCTTTTAGTGTATACTCCACCCTTTGTACTTTTGTCTGATCCAATTAAAAATGTACAGGAACATGGATTGTGATTAATTACATTACAATTTGGTAAGTGATCTGTAGTGACTGACCAGTTTCTGTAGCTTCTGAGGCAGTGGACACAGCATCTGGGGACTTATCTGCAGAGGGACTGAAGGAGCCAAAATATCCCAGTCCGCCAAGCCTGTCAGGGGCGGGGGGCTCCATAGTGGCTGTGGCCATGTGGGTTCTGAGTGAGCTTAGGATAGAAGGCTGTTCCACCACAATAAACTTATGCTCCTGGACAGAAAAAGACAATAGCAATACTGTTGGTGTTTGTGATAACTGAGGTTACAAAGTATCCTGATGCATGCTCAATAATCCAGGCAGAAAAATCCAAAAAAGATTAATCTGGTCCTCTGGACATAAAAAAAAAAAAAAAATGCAAAGCAAAAAATGTAGAAACGTTTCGTCTCTAATCCGAAAGACTTCCTCAGTCTGAGGTGCTGTATTAAGCTCAGTCTCTTAAATAGCACCTTCTCAGAGTGGATCAACCAGTTTGCTGCTGACAACCAAAACCAGCTGATCACATGCTCAAGTCAAGTCAAGTCATATTTATTTATAGAGCACAATTTAAAACAGATAGACTGTTATCAAAGTGCTTAACACTAAGGGTAACACTAAGAAATAAAAAGCAGTAAGAATATACCTTAAAAAATTAAAACAACAGCATTAAAATGAAGACAAGGAACAAGATATACTAAATCAACTCGCACAGTATGAAACGCCAGAGAGAACAGATATGTTTTTAACAGGGATTTGAACACAGGAAGGGAGGTGGCATGCCTAATGTTGGGGGATAGGTTGTTCCACAGTTTGGGACCCATGACTGAAAACGCCCAATCTCCTCGGAGCTTCAGTCGTGTTTTTGGAACAACCAAAAGCAGCCGATCGGATGATCTCAGAGCCCGAGAGGGAACATATGGTTCCAGTAGCTCAGAGAGGTAGATGGGTGCGAGGCCATTTAGGCACTTATAGGTCAGGAGGAGAATTTTGAAATCAATCCTAGTTCTCACAGGAAGCCAGTGTAGGGAGGACAGAACTGGTGTGATGTGCTCATACCTCGGTGTACCGGTTAAAAGCCGAGCTGCAGCATTCTAGACGAGCTGTAGCCGTGAGATAGAGACCTGGCTGACCCCAGCATACAGTGAATTACAATAGTCCAGGTGGGTTGTGATGAATGCGTGGACTAATGTCTCAAGGTCGATTCTAGACTGCACTGGCTTGAGCTTAGCTACCTGCCGCAGTTGGAAGAAGCTTCTCTGCAGAACCGAACTGATCTGTTTGTCGAACTTAAAATCGGAGTCAAAAACCACTCCAAGGTTTTTAACAGAGTGCTTCAGATAAGGCTGAAAGGAGTCCAGGTTCACAGGATAAGAGGCGGCAGCTGAGCTAGGGCTAAAGACAATGACTTCAGTCTTCTGGTCGTTAAAACTTAGAAAATTTGAAGCCATCCATGTCAATGTCGTCCAGACATTTGAGGAGAGGGTGGACGGAACAAGCACTGGCTGGTTTCAGTGGCAGGTAGATCTGACAGTCATCGGCGTAGCAATGGAATGGAATACCATGTTTTCTTAGGATCGACCCCAGCGGAAGCAGATAGAGCGAAAATAGAAGGGGTCCGAGAATCGAGCCCTGTGGGACACCGCAGGAAAGAGGCATTGAAGTGGATAGGATTTTACCCACCTTCACACAAAAACTCCTGTCAGAGAGGTATGAGCGGAACCAGTCTAATGCGGCACCTGTAATCCCAACCCAGTGTTCAAGCTGAGAGATGAGGATACTGTGGTCAACAGTATCGAAAGCGGCAGTAAGATCGAGGAGTACAAGAGCCACAAAATGACCAGAATCATTTGCTGTTAAAATGTCATTACAACCCTTAACCAAAGCTGTTTCGGTGCTGTGGAGCTGCTTGAAACCAGACTGAAAGACCTCAAAGATTTTGTTCTCAGTTAAAAACTGATTTAACTGAGTAAAAACTACTTTTTCCAGGATTTTGGACAGAAAGGGGAGTTTTGAGATTGGTCTGTAATTTGAGCAGGCTGAAGGGTGAAGACCAGGTTTCTTAATTAACGGTGTGACTACTGCATGTTTGAACGCCTCTGGGACCACGCTTGTAGCAATACTACTGTTTAGTATAGTTAGAACAGCAGGCCCAATCGCTGGTAGAACCTGTTTGAACAATGCTGCTGGGATGGGGTCCAATGGTGATCCTGATGGCTTCATGTGACCAGCAACTTTGTTTGACAATGGGAGTGTGATTGGTTTGAATTGCCTGAAAGTAGCAGAACACGAAACAAAAGCTGATGGGT